ATATATCTCATAAAATTTGCCACTTAACTATTTTTAAGTGTACAATTCAGTGACATAATTTGCATTGAGAGAATTGTGCTATCTTTGTCACCATCTATTTCTAAAACTTTTTCATACTCCCAAACAGAAGTTCTGAAACTATTAAGCAATAACTCTCTATTTCTCCTACTTTGCAGTCCCTGGTAACCTCTAATCTATGCTCTGTCTTCATGCATTTGCCTAGTCTAGGTATTTCATATAGAATCATGTGATATCTGCCCTCTTCTATTTGGCTATTTCATTGAACATAATGTTTTCAATGTTCATCCATGTTGTAGCATGTGTCAGAAGCATATTTCCTTTTTCATGGATGAATAATATTTGACTGTATGACTATACCATATTGTATTTATCCATTTACCGATTAGTTGACATTTGGGATATTTCCACATTTTGTTTATTGTAAATAACACTGCAGTAAACTCTGGCATATGAGTGTCTGTTCAGTTCCTGCTTCATTTCTTGTGTAGACTTATCTTAGAGTAGAATTGCTGGGTCATATGTTAATTCTATGTTTAATTTTTGAGGAACTGCAAAACTGTTTTCCACAGTGGCTGCACCATTTTACATTCCTACCAGCAATATATAAGGGAAACAGTTTTTTTCACATTCTCACCAGCAATCCTTGTTACTTTACTTTTTTTTGTTTTATAGCCATTCCAGTAGCTATAAAGTGGTTTCTCATTATGGTTTTGATTTGCATTTCCCTAAGGATTAATGATGTTCAGCATCTGTACATTGGCCATCTGTATATCTTTTTTGGAAATGTCTATTCAAGTCCTTTGCTCATTTTCTGGTTGGGTTGATTTTGTTGTTGTTGAGTCTTAGTTCTTTATTCTCTGTCCAATTTATGTACAGATTCTGTGGTGCCACGAAAGATTCCATTATTTCAGTATGGCCCAGCAAAGGGACAATCACAGAGAACCAAGGAAAACATAGTTCTGACAGGGCTGTGATTGGTTCAGCTTAACAGAGGATGCAGTGAGAAGCTATCATGGACCTAACCACAACAGAACACAATTTATAGCACAAAGAAATATGATACAGTGTTGAGAATCTAGTCTATATGGGTTTATGAAAAGCATTTCTTTTCATAGAGACTAAGTTTGTGGGAAAATGGATAATTTATGGAGAAATATTGCTGGGTTATTAATTAGCTTTTAAATGCAAAATGAGAATAAGCAGTCATGGGCAAAATTAGAATCTTAATTTTTAATGCATCATGAAATACATCTGTGACTATCAGTGATTTAAGATACTAGAGATCCAAGAGAGCCCTTAAAAGTTCAAAAATGTTTAGCTTGTTATTTGGTAAAAAGGCAGCTGCGCATGGAGGACTAGAGCCATGAGGATCAACAGCTGGCCCATTGTGTAGGTACCTGGTCCATAAATCAATAAGAATCCTTGAACAAGCAGAGTTTCCAAGGTAACCAACCTTCAATTTCCATTTTCGTTTGTGACCAAGAAAGAGTAGTGTAACAAGAGCTGCATCTCTTAGGAGAACATGTTAGTTGGGGTAGGAGAGCCAGGGGACCAGAGGGGCGCTTCTTCCTTAAAATTGCAGAGCATCAGAGTTAGGGGTTTACAAGGGCTTTGCCTCTCAGGGTGGATTTGTGAATAAAAACCCAGACATAGATGGACAGAAGAACCTACACATTTCTGCTTTCCTTCTGACCTCCCTTGCAGAGGGTAACATGTTCACAAAACCAGGTGTAGCTTTTTCCTCTGGATCACTGTGGAGGGAGAAAGAGAAAGAAAAGGAAGGCAGGTTGTGGCCAGCCTTCAAATGCAGCCAGATATGGAATTGATTAACACTGTTTGAAAGTTCTATGCCACATACACTTTCCAGGTTCTCCTGAAATAGATTTTTAGCTATAACAACAGGCAGGGCGTTTTCAAAGGTGGCCTGCTACAGGCAAATGTGAGAAAGTTTTTATGCACTATGATTTATTTTGCTCTGGGGAAATGGTAGCTCAGTCTTGTACTTCTTATTAAAAGTCAAAGGTCTCTTATTTCCTTTGCTCTCCCTACCCTTTTCTTGTTTGTTTATGTTTTTGAAAGCTGAAATTAGGGCCAAGGCCTCTAGGATGTCGATCCCTTTTAAATGTCAGTGGATCCACTTGGAAACAGGAGGTGGTTTTCTACTTCTCGTTATACCCACAGTGAGAGAAGCGGCACATGGAGATTTTGAATCACATGCTGAGAGTTCTGATGTTCTGAGTTTTCTTGACTTACTGCTTCCAAATATGTTCTTAAAATAAATGGCAATTTCCTCTTGGAACAGTTTATGCACTAACACATATGTTAGTAATCTCTGAGCAGTCGGGATGCTTTACATACTGTAACTCTACACATTTGCACGTGCTTCCTAAGGTCACATTCCTTTAATCTATTGTATCCTCAATTTTGTTTTGGCTCTTTTATCTAGAGGTCTCTTAATTAGAAGGTCCTTGCCTTCTATGACCTGAACCCTGAGCTCTCAGAACCAGGGCCCTGGGAGACTGTATGTGACTTCTTAAGAGGGAAACCTAATGTTTCCTCTTGCCTCAAAAGTGGAAAAGATGAAGAAGAGTGATGACTCTTCAGTTCTATTGGCTACTCGTACTTTTTTAAAGACTATTTTATTGATTTTTAGAGAGGGGGGGATGTCAATATGAGAGCACAACGTTGATCAGTTGCCTCCTGCTTTGCCTCTGAGCAGACTCTCTCTGGGTAAGAAGCTAACTGACTTAGCCTCACAAATAATACCCTCTGCCTCCTGTTTCTAAAGGCAAATGTGATGGGCGGGGAGAAAGACAGAAACATCTTTCATTGTAGTCTTCTCTCTACTGGGGATTGAGCCTGCAACCTGGGTATGTGCCTCTGACCAGGCAAGCCAGCAACCTCCTGGTGTACAGGAGGATGCCCACTCAACTGAGCCACAGGGCCCATTGGCTACACTTTTCTGTGAAAATTTAGAGAACCTAAACCATTAGTGTGATTGGTTCTGCACTTCTGGAGGCTTTTTTCTGCCAGGACCTGCCAACTCTCTCTCCTGGGAAGTAAGCATTCCTCCCATTTTCACTGGAGAGGCTGCCTTTTGACTCTACCATGGGTTGTTTTTTCTGTACATTCACACAGTTGCAGTAACTTATTCCCACTACACCAAACCCCATGTGTATCCCTTCCTCTACTCCTTCCACCACCATCATGATTGTCGGGCTTGGACTAGCTCTCTCTTCAGTTGTTGCAATCTAGATTCTCCTGGCTGGTACTTGCTCCGTCAGCTCTTCCTGCTGGTGGTCTCACTTCTCCTATCTTTGTAGACCAGACCCCACCCTCAAGCTTAGAGAACTCCTTAAACTTGGGGGGCTTCGGGGGGAATCATTGTCCACTCTAACTCGGATGGTACTATTTTGTCTCTGGAGTTCTGTGGGATTTTCTTAGTTCCTTATAAATAAAGTTCAACTTTCTGTCATCTTTTTCTATTCTTGGTGACCTCGCTTACTTCACTCTTCCCATTTCCACTTTCCATTGTTTTCTAGAATGTCAGTCGGTGTTCCATGTGCCTTATTTCATTGACTCCCTTCAGTGGGCCTGGCTTTTTATCTTTCGTCACTACCCGTCCCCCAAGCCTTCATATTCTCTGTAGCGTTTTCTTGGTTTGATGAAGAAACTGTTGAATCTTACCAGTATTAGCTATCAGGAAATTATGCTGCCTAAATCACTTTTCCTTGTTTCTGGAAACCAGCTATCATTTGTTCCTGTTTTCCACGCATTGAGAAAGAGGGTTGTGTGTCCTGAGCATCCTGGGCTGTGTCCATCTCCCGGTATTCATCTGTGACAGGGAAGCACTCTCTATAATGGCCTTTGCACAGTGCCCTGCAAGATTAGGCATTTATTAGTTGTGATGACATTAAAGGTAACTGACTTAGCCTCACAAATAGGACCCTCTGCCTCCTGTTTCTAAAGGTGATGGCATGGGTAGGGAGGAAGACAGAAACATCTTGCATCCTAGTTTTCAGTAGGAGCCACGTTTGTGTTTAGTGGGTGAACTATTGGTTTAAATAGTCATTTAAATGGCCAGATGTGTCTCACTAAATTTGGCTGTGTTCAGAGTAGCATCTTCTCCCCATGAGTTGTAATGTGTAGAACGCCAGGCTGTTTCTTGGTTTTTGTTTGTCTATTTGTTTCTCTCATGTCACCTTATTTCACTTGTACTATCAAAGAATGAGGAGAAATTTGACTCAGATACAGCTTAAGAAGCCCTTGCATATTTGGCTAAAAATTGGCAACATGTATATATATGTAGAAGTATAGAAGTATAGTCAACCATAAAAATAAGACTAGTATTTGTAAGTAGTAATTCAGTTCTTTTTAGATAACCAGTAGTCTTTTAAATTAGGTTAGACATGATTCTGGGAGTCTGCAAATAAATTAAAAAATGCAGTAACCTAAGCAGTATATGACATGAAGCTTTATGCTAAAATCTGGCTTTAACTTTTCTTTAACTTATTATATTAATAAGATGATGAGCCTTATTTAATTCAGGGATGAGAAATGAAATCCAAATACACTTTTGCTGACTTGGTATTCATAACCTGCTTTATCTTTCAATGTTTATGTTTAGAAGATAAATGCCCTACCTAGGTATTTTCTGTGTTCTCATTTTTGGGTGTCTATTTGAAGGGTTTTGTTTTGTTTGTTTCTCCTTTAATTGGCTGCACAGGAAGATCCATTCTGCATTGTGAGTTTAGCATTTTCTTCATTGTCTCCCGTGCATCCCATTGTCCGTGCACACACAGCATGGCCAGCGCCACATCTGCCTCCTTCACTGAGCAACCACTTCAAATACAAAAGCCCCTCCACGCTGAGCATGCCCATGTGCCCAACATCTGGTGCAGGGACGGAGCCTGGAAGGTCTGGGGCCTCACGTTACACTTTGACACAGTTTCCTTTTCCTCTCGGTTTCTCCTTTACAGATACTGCAATGAGCATCTGCTGTGCCCCCCGCACGTGTTCTGGACGGGCTGGGGTCCTTGGGAGCGGTGCACAGCCCAGTGCGGGGGTGGCATTCAGGCTCGCCGCAGGACTTGTGAGAATGGGCCCGACTGCGCCGGCTGCAATGTGGTGAGTAGAGTCCTACTCATCCCCAGCCCTCAGCCTGGACCTGGGAGAGCAGAGTGAGCACACACTAGATGTTTTCCTACCCACGTACGCTGAGCACATAAGATACACTGCAAGCACTCAGTGCCCTGCAAACACTAGATGCTCTACAAACACATGTGTAAACATGAGCTATTCTGCATGCACTAGGTTATCTGTACATACTGCATGCTCTGTGGGTACTAAGTGCTCTGCAAACATGACATGACTAGACAGTGTACACTTGGTACACACTGGATGCTCTGCAGGTGTCAGGTGCTCTTACTCACTAGTTAGTCTGCAAATGTTAGATTCTCAATAGACACTAGATGTTCCGTAAACATTGAATGCTCTGTACACATGACATGTCCCGGCACTGGGAGCTCTGCACAAACTAGATGCTGTGAATCAGACAGGTTTCTCTGGTTAATGAGAATGTTTGCAGGAAATACTGGAAATTCAGCTTTTTGCATTAAATATTCTCACATTTATGAATTTTCAATTCCCGTTTCTGAGTATGACAGCAACTTCAGCCTGCTTCATTCTGGTCCATATATCTGGTTTGGGGACACGGGGTAAGGACTCTACATTGAGCCACAGTGAGGTATGGAATGCAGGATGAACCCAAGACACAGGACTGAGAGACTTTCTGGGATCATTGTCAGAGCACAAAGGTACCAATTCAGAGGGAATAAAAGACAACTTGTGGTTTTGTTTTTCTTCTGCCTTTAGAAGTCATATTTTTTTTAACACTTTAAACTCTCAAATAAAATTCCTCCTGTGCGAGTACCTCCCCCAAGGCCCGTTGCTGCTCCTCCTGTGCCATCTGTCAGGGTGAGTGGCCACGGAGGCTGCTGGGCTTGCACCTCATTCATCTTCCCCTGGTCCTGGCCTCTCGCCCAGGCTCCTTGCATGGGCTCCTCCTTGAGGTGTGTGCTTTCTCCTTTCCTTCCCGCCTATGGAAGCTGCCTCTCAAATGCCACTTCACAACTGATAATCAAAGGCTTGCTCTTTCTTAATTGCTATGCCTAGTGGATTCGATCTAAAATTTTTATGTAATCCATTACCGGGAAAGTTCAACAAAGGACTTTGATCTTCATGAAGGTCACAGTCTGAACTCTTCCCCTGCACTGAGCTTGTAAAATGCATGCACTTGTATTTCCAAGTTCTTCTTCAAGGGAAAGGATCAGGCTCCCTAACTGAACCTTGATATTGCACCTTCATGCATGTGGGAACACAAAATTTGCTTTCTTTTTATTATATCTCAGCAAAGAGCTTGCAGTTATGAAAGATAGTCAGAGTCAAAATGTCACATTTTGTTAAAAGAAGCTGGAGTATTTTGAAAGACTTAATATCAGTTCACAAAATCACGTGGTAGCCACAAAAGTGTAAGTTTTCTGAAATTTAGCACTGAAAATTCGGTGATCAAGTTTAACGACTGATGCATGATGCAGAGGGAGAGAAGAGGAAAATGATGGATTGTAGGAATTAATCCATCAAAAGTCTGTCTCCAGAACATGTAAATTATTTACAGTATTGGAAATTGCAATTGATATGGACGTCTGGAGTATTTCACAAAAATGTTTCATTTATAGACTTTTAAGAGTCTGTTGCACAGATTTCTGTGGCTCCACAAAATAATCAGGCTATTTCTGCCGATAATAATTCAAACACAGTCATTGCAGAGTTAATTGAAAGGAGAAGCTGTCGTGAATAGAGGTTCTCTGCTATAAAAGAGACTTAAGTGAGACACGCAGAGAGATTTTTCCTTTACCATTTACCAGTAATGTCCCTGATAAAGCTTTTCCTATACCTGACACTAAAATACCTAAATGTACTTAGGCAAACACAGAAACAGTATTCTTACTTATAGCAATTTCCACTAAATGGCCATGAGTTTTAAAATCTTTTGTAGGTCTACATTGATGTATACACCGAACAAATTGATTTTTAAAGGCATAACAAATACCAGTTGCCATTATTTAAAAGAGGGAACCCCAGGTCTCTTTAAATTATGCCAGATTTTTAACTGCTACAAAATAATTAAATAAGGCTTTACATTTAGAAAGCCATATTTAATTATTTTGTAGCAGTTAAAAATAATTAAATATGGCTTTCTAAATGTAAAGCCTTAGTAGACTTCCTCCAAACACAGCCAAAGAATATTCTTTTCCAAATGCATCTTCCATATTTGATTTGTATCCCTGAAGACACTATTGGGCTAATCATGGATTATCTATCCATAGAGAATACTCCTTGAATCATCTAGTCGATTTGATGTCCCTGCTAAATTGGGCACTTATTTTGGTCAATTTCTGTAGCTCATCTTGTCTGCTTCTACTTGCACTAGGCACTTGCCACTGTAATTAAAGAGAAGGCTCTCTTAATTTTTAAAAAGCAATTTGTTTATCCAGCCAAGTTGGCTTTTACATGATGTGCTAAGATGCGGTCCCTCTCACTGGAAGACAAATGCTTCCTGTCAGGGGGAAAGGGGGAGTTTGCAGCATCAAGATTGAGCTCCTGCATTGATTTGCATCTTTGGGCACTTCCATCTCCCATCCAATTTTTAAAAAGCCAATTTCAGTCCAGCACCACACTGCACAGGCTGGAGTTATGTTTCCAGGAAACATTTTCGTGCATTATAGCTGCTTGGGCTGTGACTGCTTGAGAACATCCTGCCACTCGGCCGTCCCAAGCGGAGACCTGTGGCTGTACACTGATAGCAACTCTGCTCAGCTAGCTTACAGAGAAGGTGGAGAGAAGCAGGGGTCCGACCCATTTTAGGTTCCATGTTAGACAGGCCAGCATTGCATCAGCTCAAGAACCCTCTCTAAAATCAAGGTAATATGCAAGCAAACAAAACCTGGTGAGACATCCCTTTAATAAAGGCTTTGTCATTTACTTAACTGATTGTGCTTCTTGTGGTGTGGCTTGCCTTTGGTTTACTCGGGCTTGCAAGGCCTGCATATATCACACTCTGAAAAGATGTTTGCCTGAGCTCACACTCATATAACCAGAATCTGAGCATCTTGATTTTTTAACCCATTTCACTCCATCATTGTTTAATAAATATTAAGATTAAGCTTCTAGCCCCTGATGGGCTGGCTCTGTGGAGAGCAGAGTGAATAAGGGAATCACAGTGCCTGCTTAGAACTTTGGACAGGGACTGTCTGTGTATCAGTTTGTTCAATGCCTATTTTTATTTGTGATGCTGTTTTTCACAATATATTTAATACCAATCTCCATGTAGCAAGGAGGGGCGTGCTATAGAGTTAGTTCACATGTATGCAAGTGCAGGCAGAGGATTTTCAAGTGAGTTTTGATCACATTATACTTGTCTTTTGGTTTGGCTCATGGCAGGCAGTTCTTCCTTTTGAAGAAGTAATCTAAGTGTTTAATTACATCAACAATATGTTTTAATTAGTGTTTTACTTAAGATTTGCATTTCACATTTTATTATCTCATCGGAGTGGAATTTCTGAACATGTATAATTTCAGTTGTTAAAACAATTCACGCACATAATAATTTTCAAAGCAACTTGTAATTAAGTAAAGGGGAAAGTGACAGATGTTAGAGGATGAAAAAATGGTTTCAAAACATTGATTATTTTCACAGATACCATTATTTCTTTCTTCTCAAGTGTTATCCTCTTAGTAATCTTGGAGCCTTCGAAGAACTTTAGCCTACTTCAGATCTCTTCTATGTGAATCTTAGAATAATAGAAACTAGTGCTACATTTAGATATTATAATCTTTCTAAATGGAAACACAATGCTACATTAAAAGCCTTCTATGTTTGTCGGAAAAGAATAAAAGCCTAATTATTCTGCTCTGTGGTTGGATGATCTGCCCCAATGCAGACATTCTTAGAACAGCTGTCTCTTCATTTCACTCCACAGCATGCTTTTTTTTTTCTAGATCTCTTTGACGTACAGAATCTCATGAGGTTCTGGTTTGAAAGAAATCATTGCAATAAAGACACTTAAAGCTGGACTTGGCTCCTACCATGTCACATTCTCGCATTACTTTATAAGCCAGGCAGCGTGAGAAAGTAACATCGCACACACTTCTCTTTGGCATCTTGCTTATTTCACGATGCGAAACATTTCCCACATCTGTTCTACTCCATCCTCATCCCAGGAAACTGCCCAGTTGCAGATGATTGGAAAGCAGTCTTCCAAGGAGCTCTAGTGTCATTGTGTGGGAGAAGGAAGGGGCAGGGGCTGAAGAAAGGAAGCTGTGGGATCTACTTACAAATGGCTCAGGCCCCACATGGGAAACCAGCAGCACAGGGACCCGTGCCTCTCAACAGGGAGTGAGGCAGAAATAGAGGGGCAGCCAGATGGAGCCCAGACCTCATGAGGAGCCCTCTGAGGTTCTCCAGGCAGGCTTCCTTAGGAAGCTATTTCATCGCTTTCTTTCTCTTATTCTTTCACAACTGCTAGTACCACTGTCAGGCCTGCTACATGAGTCTTCTTTGAGGATTAATTTGTCTAATGCTTGGTGTGATCTCCTATGGTATTGTTAATTTCTATACAGTTTTACATATGGAAGAAAAGGACATTCTCCATGACCTCGGTTATTGATCTGTCATCCTTTTCTTTGTAGTATTTTCAGATCATTCCATCTGTGTATTTGGTCAACCAAAAATGTTGAATACCTAGCACAGAACTGTCCTAGGCCCTTTGGAAGATACAAAGATGCAGGCAATAGAACCCCTAACCACAAAGATACGACTTTCTAGCTTAAGAGAAAAAAATATAAATCAAATAACTAAGATATAAGGAAGAAGCTAGGAATGCCAGTGGAGCAATTAAGAGAAAACAGTGGGTCCACAGGAGGGAGAGGTTATCTGTGGCTGGGTCAAGGGCACCCGCATGTGTGGACAGGATTTGGCCAAGTTGAGAGGGGCATGGGAGCTTCCCTGAGAAAGGAACATGAGTGAAGAATGTGGATCAAAGGATGTGGGGGTACACACTGGGAGC